TTAATTGTAGTTATAAGATATGGGAGAAAATGAATAGTGATTATATCCAATATTGTTTCCTATTATGTGTTAGCATTCAATTGCTAAAGAAACAAAGCATTATTGAATTAAAGTTCGATACAAAAGAGTAAACTGACGTAAACTCAAACATGTAATTCCCTCAACGTGACTGAGCATTGCTTACACGCTCGTGATTAATTGTAGTTTGAATAATGAGATGAGGGAGAAAATTGATAGTGAATATTCCCACAAGCTGACCGTTAAAGCACTTTGGTTCGTCCTTGTGCAGTTAAGAAAATCTAAATTGCCAGAGAGGCCACCAAATATATCCGTTAGCTGCTAACGTTAGCGGCTAACGCTAACGTTAGCGGCTAACGTTAGCAGCTTCCTATTGTTTATTTAGCATTCAATAGCCAAATAAACAAAGCATTATGGATTTAAAGTGCGATACAAGAGTAAAGCGAGGCAAACAACTAACTGTTTATAGCTGTGTCTGAGACTGAGCATGTATTTTTCCTTGTGGTTTAAAGTAGGTAAAATAACATTAGCCGTTTCCTATTATGTGTTAGCATTCAATAGCCACAAAAACAAAGCATTATTGATTTAAAGTGCGATACACTGACGCAAACTCAAACATTGAATTCGCTCAACGTGACTGAGCATTGCTTACACGCTCGTGATTAATTGTAGTTTGAATAATGAGATGAGGGGGGAAATTAATGGTGAATATTTTTGTTCCACTGATGTAGGCTGCAGCAGAATATCTGTTCCTATTCTGCTCAGACTTTCACATTGATTTAGCAAAGCACACAGCGCGGTGTCTGCCAGCAGCAGAACAGACCGAGGCCTCGGGCGACGGCAGGCTGATTGTGTTCAGATAAGGACATGCTCAATTCCGCCTCGCACTATTTGCATTTTTTTCCCCCCCTTCCTCCTCTCCCCGGCTTCACGCAAATTGAAAGGTATGCAGATCAACACAGGCTTATGCGAGGGGATCGTAATGAGTTGTAACAATGAGGTCCAATGCTTTCTCTCTGATTGGACTGTCAAGACTTCACCGTGATGGGAGGGGAGAAGCAAGAATCATTATTTTATTAATCTAACATGCTTCAATAGCAATATTTATTTTTACATTGGTCTTTTTGATGTCTTAATCGTTTAACCTTTATTCGAATTATGGCATTTTTATTACTATTATCTTTTATGTCTGTTGTACTTATATGTTCACTTTATTTTATATTGTTGCATCGATTGAGTCTTATCTGTCAGAGAGAAACCATTATATATTTTATTATCATACATTTGACTGCTTGTGTCTATTAACCTGATAACATGTTATATGTTGCTGCATGTACAGATTAATAAATAGTCTGAGTGGAATTTCTTGTGTATTTTCAACTTGTGATGTGTCATTTTGTAAAGCACTTTGAGCTGCATGTGTTGAATGAAAAGTGCTTTTATTATTAAAACTAATCTGTACCGAATCAGGCCATAATTTGCTGGAAATATGCAGGGCTTTCATGTGGTGTTGTCTGAGGTTTGGCTCTGGTTCAAACTCTCCGTGAGGCCTGGAGAGTTTTGGGAGAGTTTTTCCCTGCGGCTCCGAGGCCTCGCCTTGTTCCCTCGCACAGAAAGAGGAACAAGTGCCAGCCTGGTGGAAAGGTCACGCGAGGTAAGGTGGAGTAGAAGTGAAGAGTAGAGAAGAAAAAAGCACCTAGGAAACAGTATCACTGGATAAAAACCTTCAAGAGCTTTAGGCAGAATTTATAATCATTCTGACAAAGCCACATGTGGTTGTGTGGATATGTATGAGGTGAGACTAACTTCCTAGTAACCAGGTTGCTTTAAGGCTGCACTGATACATATCTTTAAATCAACATCGCACTGTGACTAATGCACTGGACAAAATGCTGCTCCAGAAACAAGTAAATACAAAATGGCTTGGTAAGATCACTTAAAGTAAAGATGGGATATTTAGATAAATGAGATCTTGTAGCTGGGAAAACTTATTTTGAACTATATTTGACCAGAATTAGGGAATGTGTTACAACAAGAGCCAGAAATGCTTAGATGTTTTCTGATGTGATTTTCCTGTAAAATAAGGTGTTTTTAAGAGACTTAAAAAACAAGACGCAAGTTATTAGGTCTTATATGAAGTGTAACGACATATTCTGTCTAGAAATTAGATAAATGTACTTGGCAAGATTTTACATTTTTGCAGTTTGTAAAATAGTTTGAAACTCAGAGGACGGTCATTCAGCTTGTCTTTGGTTTTACTTTGAGTTCTTTTTGTCAGCTGTCCGTTTTATTTAGTCTTAGCAGTGTCTCAAATGTCCTTGGTATTTTTTGTCATATTTACTCTAATGCAGTTATAGTAGTCGAAGAAAACTATCACTATTTTAAAGTAGTTTTGGTTAATCAGATTGAACCATTTAATCAATCTTGTCTAGCCAAAATATCACCTGGTTTTTCCAAAGCTCTGTTGTTGTTATTGTTACCTTTAACTTAGGTAATGTACTCTAATTCATACTGACTGTGCTAACTGTGCTGCTGTAGTCCAGTGGCAAGTACAGGAAATGGAGCATTACAAAAATTAAATCAATCTATACGATATAATCTTTTCTTTTTGAAGCGCAACACAGAGATTTTGCTAAACATTTTCATTTTCTGTCATGTACAAACAACTTAGTCTTGTCTTCTTGAATCAACATCACCGCATGATGTCGTCACAGTTCAGTAGCCGCTCAGTCTCAGTGTTGTTTTCAGTCAAATCAAACATATTTAGTCCTAGTAGTGTTAACACATTTGACAGTTTATGTCTGTCACGCAATTTTACTGTTTAGTCAAATCTCTCAACCACCGTATTTTGAGAAGAAGACACTAATCTGAAGAAACAGCGGAGAGATAACACTAACAACTTCAGGTATTTCTTATGGTGGAGACCAAACCAGAGCTAGTAGGAGAGCTTACATCTGTCAAACTTCAAATAAATACTAATGTTGACCCATGTCTAATAAATACACAACATGCTCTCAAACAACTCAAATACTGCCATTTTGCTTAACATACCTATTGATCAACATGTAAAGCTCACAACGTGGACATTTTTAGAACCAATGACCTTAAAATATATTGCATCCGTGGGAAATCTACAGCTACGCTCTGAAGTGTATAAAGCAGGGAAGCATTCAGTTTGTTGCTATGAGCTTTGGGTTCTTTAAAATATATATAATATATTGTATGTAATATGCAATATAGTACTTTCATAAAGCAGATTAAACAGAGGCTAGTGTGTGCATCTGCCTCACACAGGTTCCCACAGAGATTAATGTGTGTGTACACGGGCTCAGAGTGTATTAGGTATTAAACTGAAGCAACAACACACAGTTTTTTCTCAGAGTACCCCTCGACTCACAGCGAGACTTCCTGTCTGAGAGAGAGCAGTCATCAGAGCGGTGGGGGGGGGCGGTTTTACCTGGGCTCACCTCTATAGAAACCACTGAGTGTAAACAGCTCAGGGCTCACACACACACACATCACAGGGTCACGCTCCAGTTAGCCAGTCTTGCGCTATTTCTATTTTATTTGTATCTACTTGATCTGTTTTATTGTGTTGCACTGTTGGAGGAGCCCGTGACCTAAGATTTTCATTGACACATCTACACTGTAGCTATGTACGTATGACAATAAAAGCCTTGCATTTTGAATCTAGCCAGTTAGCATTTTCCACCACTGTGTTTGTTCCAGTGGTGGAGAGTAACTAAGTACATTTACTCAAGTACTGAACTTAAATACGAGCACTTACTAAAATGTTTCCATTTAATGCTACTTTATACTTATTTTCCCCTACATTCAGGGCGCAAACACACGTATGGTGAAAAAAGAGAGAACTATTCGAAGCAACGTAATATACCCTCTGACAAAGGCCTGTGCTATAATGTTATTTTTAACAACTTTTTTGTTACCGTCATACTGTATAGTATTTTATACCCGTTTTTCATGTAGTCTCTTAATTTTGTATAACTATAATGATCATATGAAGGTGTGCCTTAACCTCACTGAGCTGAGGTTATTTGAGCCTCTCAGTCCGTCAGGAGCTGGTCATAGAAAAAGCTCTTAATATTCGTTAGCATAGATGCTAATAACAACAGATCGCCACTGGGTTTACAACTAAAAGCCACGCAAAAACTGCGGCATGTGTACGGCTCCTTATGGGTACTGCAATATTTGAAGCGGAGTTCCAGTGCTCTCCGTCAGCACTACACCACGTGATGACACGTTACGCTCGTGTTGTGTTCAAGGAACCTGTCCTTGGCCAGGAAAAACCGGCACTTTCTTGTTTAATTATTTTGCGATCTAGATTTCTTAAACATTTTTTGAAGTGAGAAGTTGTCCGTCAGTCCATAAAAAGTTAAATTATGCATCTCTAACGATTAAACCAGTGACGTAAGTTTGATATATCCAATATATTACAAAAAGATACAAAAGAAAGTCAGAAAAATTTATAATTTGAGACTACAAGAAAAATGCTACTTGAAGCAACAATATTAGCATTCTGATAATGTCATCTAATAATAAATCACATCTGGATGCCATTTTTCAACAGATTGAGATTCTGTTACTTGTAATGGAGTACTTTCACATGAATGTACTACTTAGTAAGGATCTCAATACTTCTTCCACCAGAGACCCTAACCATAGTTTCCTAATGACTGCTTATGCTTGCAGGTAATTGGTGTGTTGAATGGGAGGAAGTTGATTGTAAAAACAGATCTCTGTTGTGGTATCAGGTCTATTGTGAAAACACGAAACCCACAAGAGCACTGTAAACATTAATAAAAATCACACTTAGGTGTCTTATCTCGTGGAAGATCTTGTGTTTTCACATCACACGACTGCATGTCTGGGCAGATGGCTTTACATACTGTTCTGATGTTCCCCCGTTGTTTAAACTGATGGTGCGGACAAACAATGGAGTGTGTTGTGGCGCGGGTATTTACCTTGAAGTCATCTGGAAGGAGCAGTTTGCTGGTCCTGAGGAAACTGAGGATGTAGCGGAATATCTCTCCGTCCCGATCTATGAAGTAGTGCTGCTTCAAGCTGTCCAACACGATGGGCTCCGTGCCATTGAACAGACGACTGATTCTGAAAATTGGAAATAGACATACACACACACGCACGCAAGCAGGCAACCGCACACACACACACACACACACACACACACACACACACACATAACAGAGTCAGCCAGCTCCCTTCAAATGCATGAAACAATTACCCTCCATTTATTTTTCAATTTTATTAGCACTAAGCTTGAAATGCATTAGCATCCTAGGTTGAAACAAGGGGCTTAAGGCACAGTTCCTCCATTTCAGACTTGTTTGAAGTGTCCCTTCTGCGGAGAGATTACAACAACACACACGCGTGCTGCTTGTACTTACAGAAATTAATAGCATGAATGTAGCATTACAGCTCTATTATTCCATCTGTCAGAGGGCTGGGAATGAAACGAGGTAAGAAACGGTGGAGGTCCACACAATAATGTAAGGGGAGAGAGACATTTCTTGACTCTGTTGTGAATTTAAAAAGGGATTTAAACAGCTGCACCTCCACTGTGTGTCATTCTGACTGTACTTAATGCAGAGTTATGGTATCACATGCTGGGTTTCCTTTATATAAAACACATTTCACGATGTAATGCTGTGGATATACATGAGTCTTTGAGGATAACCTATTCTTGCACTGGCCTGTATTTAAGTTCCTTTTCAATCTAATCTAAATGTATACTCAAATGCATATTTTGGTGATATTGGACCACCATAATAAAATAAAATCAACATATTGGGACTCTACATCATATGCCATCACAAAAATATGTTGATTCTTCCTTTTTATGTTCTCTTATTATACATTATATATCATAGTATATATCCGTATCGGTCAGGTTTATCAAGAGCAGTTCTTTGTTCCATTAGATGGCAAAGAAAATATTGAAAAAACATCAAAATCATTTGTAAAAGCTGGAATAATGAAAATAACATTACGTACAGTAGATAATGTTCTCCCACTAAGAAACACTATTGAATTAAAAACACTAGTATGCATTTACCAAATATTATAAGGACTGTAGCGTCTTATTATATCATAGGTCAGGCTGACTGAGTAGTTATTTGTTCCATTGAACGAAAAAGTATAAAAAGCATCTGAAAAAACGAACTATAAAAGCTGGAATCACATCAAGATTGTTTTCCTATAGCTAATAATGAATTAAAAACACAAATATTATCAGGACTGTAGCATCTTATATAGACACTTGTTGCTGTCTCAGTTAACTCCTCCCCCTCCTAAGATGAAGGCTGTTAGAGTTGGCTACAGGCGCTCACCATTAAGAAACTCTATTGAATTAAAAACACTCAATATCATCAGGACTGTAGGGTCTTATTATATTATAGGTCGAGCTCACTGAGAAGCACATTGAAAGACAAAGTAAGTGTAAAAATCATCTGAAAAAATAACCCACATCAAGATTGTTTTCCTAGCTAATAATGAATGAAAAAACACTCGTTATTTCCATGCATTTTCCAAATATCATCAGGACTGTGTTGACACTTGTTGCTGCTCGGTGTCCTTCAGTTAACTCCTTCCCCTCCTAAGATGAAGGGTTTGGTTAGAGTCGGCTACAGGCGCTCATCAAGGCAAAGAGAGAAAGGAATTGCTGTTATCTTTAAACTTTCATCACACCGTGTTGGCCTCCAGATACCTTTGGACAGATATTCATTTCCACTTGTCTTTGTGAGGTTTTCTTGCAGCGTATACCTGCAGGTCCCTCTCTCTTTCACTGACTGGACTCGATCTATTTCTTCATTTCCATTATGCTAAGTAAACCTTTTTAATAGTTAAAAGCAGTGTTTTAACATCTGATATATTGGGGAAGGTTTGTTGAATTATTGTTACACATCTGTGTCAAAAAGAAAGCTTAAATCTGTTTAAAGAATTCGTTTTTTATGCAACATTTCCCTCACCAGGAATGCCTTGGCGGTGTAAATAATACTCATTTATATGAAATCTGTTGCACGTAACCTCTCTCCACACATTTCCCTTCGCCTGGCTGAGGAACGCCTGGCTGTCATTATCATCACTTCCATGTAATCTGCTCCTTAATCACGGTAACAGCTTCTACGTCGGCTGACTAAGTTGCACGACAAAGAAAGCTATGTGCAATAACGCGCCGGCCAACGAACCCAGCACCGCCTGAGCACTGTTGTTGTCAAAGCGTATTAGAAGGAGAGCATGGGAGCCGCAGTGGGAACGTGAACAAACAGCGGGGGCTGGCTCCACTCATCTCTCTGCATTTACAAGCCTCTTACTTTGTAAAAGTGAGCGTGGATCTAATGGTTGTATCAGGTATCTCCTGACCCCGATGTGTCGACTCCACACACTGAAGCTATCACGTCAAATGTATTTTTCTTTGACTTGTGAAGAAGCAAAGATGGTTCTCCCTCGCTTCCACTCTTTCTTTCTCTTCCTCCGTCTCCATCCTTCTCCCTTGCTCGCTTTCTCTCTGGAAATCGATGCAAAATGCTTTATAAAAAACCAATACTCATCTCCCTGTTTCGCCCGAGGTGTTCCTTTCTCATATGGTCTTGCAATTCTTCCAGCTAGAATTTCACCATACCCCTCCAGGCTAACTCTGTTTTTCATCTCCACTTTTTTAAAAAGCAATTAAAATGCTGCCTGTTTTTCTTTTTCTTTCCCTCTCTTCTACTCCCTTCACTCTCGCTCTCTGTTGGTCTCCTCATTTTTACCCTTTCAGTTAAATCCCTGAATTGGATGGTTGGGAGGAGGGGGGCCATTTTAACAGGTAGGGAGAGAGAAAAAGGTGTTGGGGGGGGAGGGAGGCATGCATGGAGAAATTAAGATACACACAAAAGCAGATTGATGAGGAGAAAGAAGAAGGGGACTAGACAAAGAAATCAGAAGAGAGAGGGAAAGGACGCAGAGAGAGAAACAGAACACGAGAAGAGATGGAGAGAGAAGTGGGAGAAGATACAGACACAACTCCATATGCAGAGAGGAAGAGTGAGGAAGAGGAGGGAGGGTGTGGGAGGTTATTGAGGACAGGAAAAGCTCAGATCTCCCACATAAAGTGAGGGCAGAGAGGGGTCAGGAGGTGGAGGGGCGTTCAGGTACCACTGATTCTACGGGAACAGACGCTAATGGTCGCCTAATAAAAGCAAGCAGCTCCATGCAAAGTGAAACAAACGCACCCAGCGAGTGTGTCCTGCCTCACATCACACAGTAGCTTTGGAGTAAGGCGGGTGTGAAGTTAAAAACTAGATTGAAAATGTGCTTCTTTTACAAAAGGTGAGGGGAAAGAAGTTCCAAAACAAGGACTACTTTACTTTAGCTAAATATGTGGTTAGGGTTCATTACAATCAAATCAGTTCATGTGTAATATTTTCTCTGTTATTTTGCAGCTACATAACATTACTGTTCCTAAGAGCTACAATTAACTCTCATTATTATTTAATGTTAAGCGATTAAAACTAAATAGCTCATTTTACTTCAGATCACAGCGATGTGTTAGTGCCATGTTAAAAAAGTGGTTAAATATGTGATTACTATCAAATCAGATTCATGTGTAATTTTCATCCAGGTTTTTTACATTAAATATGAGAACAGCAACAACAATTGTCTTACATGGTTATCTTGGAACATATAATCATTTAAGGCTTTGTTGTCCAATATTCCCAGATGTGATTGCATTGAGAAAACTCAATTTCACAACCACTGATAACCGTCACTGACTCTTATCCCCACAAGTTGTGTTGCTAGCTATCATAATGTCTGTCTGCAGATTGCCAAAACATTTTCTCGGTTATTTTGCAGCTACATAAAATGACTGTTCCTGCGCAAGAGCTACAATTAACTCTCATTATTATTTAATGTTAAGTGATTCAAGCTAAAAGTCAAACAGCTCATTATACTTCAGATTAGGGCTGCTCGATTATGGCAAAAATCATAATCTCGATTATTTGGGTCAATAATTGTATTTGCGATTATTAAATGCGATTATTCATTGACTTTGAAAACATCCATTTATTGGAGAAAAAAATGTGAACAGTATATTTTTAACAGTTGATTACCCTGAACTTTAAGTATAATTCAACTGAAAAAAAAAAAAAAAAAAGTAATAATAATAATAAAAAAATAATCTTTTAATTTCAATTACGTTGTTTTCGTTGCAAGCCATAATCGTAATCGCGATTAAAATATGATTAATTGAGCAGCCCTACTTCAGATCACAGCGATGTGTTAGTGCCATGTTAAAAAAGCAACACTTGAGGCCTTACAGTGAAATGGAGTCAAACTGAAAGGAAATATCGTGAATGCTAACGGTAAAAGATGAGATATTGTTTGCTGTGTTAAATATGGTTATCAGCACCGGAGAAAGAGTAACTAAAAGAGAAAGGAGCCCGTGCAGATCTGTCGACTAACAAGACTCGTCTACAAGGAGAAAAATATCCAGTGGTCTTTTCAAAATACTTTCCTCGTCTCTGAAACATTCCCCTTTAATCCCCCAGCTTCTGTTGAACAGAGACTTTCCTCTGAGAGAGCGGCGCAGCGAGAGCATCAATGTTTCATGACCCCTGTCCCTTAATATGGCCCGCACAGAAGAAGATGAATAACCACACATTACTTACTAGACTAACTTTCTCTTGGCATGCTGCATTATTTAGGAGGCAATCTATTAAAAGTAATCATCAACTCTAAACTCTTTAACCCTGCTCTGTTAGTTTCACTGATGGAAAGTAACTAAGTACATTTTCGACTTATTGTTGAGTATTTTCATTAAGAGTGGGTCCTATTATACTCATGTTCATGTCCCTTAAGTGTCTCTACTGGGACATGTCTCCATGCTTTAATGTTCAAAAAGCTCTTTCTGTCTGAAACCAGAGCCCAGTCTGCTCTGATTCGTTAGCTGACCGGCTCTGTTGTGATTGGTCAACTGCTTAGAGATGTCCCGCCCCTTAGCCTATCACGTATAATGTGTTGGGGCGCTAGCCAACAGAAGAGCTACTGTAACTAGGTGCACAATAGGGCCCCTTTAATGCTACTTTCTACTTCAACTCTAGACTATTCTCACACTCACTTATCTACAGTCTACATGTGGTCCACATGAACTACAATGCTAAGATGCTGTTACATGTATAACAGGTTAATGTAATAAACATAACAATATAAGACTCTGAACTTATCCATGAGTACTTTTACCTGATAACCCAAAATGAGTCATTGTCCTAATGAGTATTTATATGTTTTGGTTCTTTGAGTACATCATGATGCTAATACTTTTGTAATCGTACTTAATCATAACCAGGACTTTTTCATGTAATGGAGTATTTGTAGACAATACTATGCATACTTTTATTTAAGTACAGGATCCGAGTACTTCTTCTAACACTACTTAGTTTCCGGTTTTGCCTGTTTGACCGGACATGACTGAATGCAGCGTCTATATAAATATATCTCTCTCTCTCTCTATATATATATATAAATATATCTATGCGGCTTTGCCAGTGTAATTGTTTTGCTTTCTGCTGTCAGCCATTATCCTAATTCACACAAAAGGGCCCCTCCTTCCACGGGCTCCAACGGAAAGTGGAGCCCTGAGGCCAACTGTACACTGAGGAGGCTGGAAGAGAGAGAAACAGAGAGTGTATGAGTGTATGCGCGCGTGTGTGTGTGTATGTGCGTGTGTGTGTGTGTGTGTGTGTGTGTGTGTGTGTGTGTGTGTGTGTGTGTGTGTGTGTGTGTGTGTGTGTGTGTGTGTTCAAAGTGAGAAAGTAACAGAAAGAGATAGAGAGAGAGGGGGCAAAGGAGCATGTGTGAAAGAGAAACACTCACAGTGGTATCCGGTCTTTACTCTCTCTGTGATAACACTGTTCGGGTGCTCTGACATGACTCTCTGCTTCATTTGTGTTATTCTTCTTCTCCCCATATGAATAACGTCTTTGTAACATGTGAAGCATTACGAAAAAATTAAAAAAATGTACGATTTTCATGAACAATAGAGCTGGTTTTACACAAGATGTGTCATTTCACAATTTTTACTCCAAAATCTGAATATCATTAGCATTCTTTCATTAGAAAAACTGCTGTCTTGTTGCCCCTGGATACACCACCCTATTAACAGAAACAATTATAAACCCTTGTCTGCGATTGGCTTTATTTTTCGTGTTAGATGTCAGGAACAAAAGGGATTTCCTGTCAGCGGCTTCTGTGATTATCAAGACTTTAATATTTATATTACCAAGGGATTAAGGGGATCCTGTAGCCAATTTGGCAGGTTTTCAACAACCTGGTGAATGTTTACGCTGGCCCACATGGGACTGTCAGCTGACGCAGAATTGAGGAGTGTATCATGGAGCGAACGACACACTGCATTAGCTTTGGGAGGAAATGTACAGCATGGAAATCAGCGGAGAACAGAGATCATTACTTCTCCTTTCAGAGCTACCTCCGCTGGTGTCACCTTGTTTGAGCATGGAGCTAAAAGCGTGATGAAGTGGGAGGGTGGATTACCAACAGCTCTTACACAACCGGAATCATGATGACTAAATCTTACAATGGACACTGATCATGAGAGAATCAGATGCCTCAGAAAGCAGGAGTTCCTTTCTCTTCCTGTCCAAACAAATACAAATTGAGATAATAGAAAGCAAGTGTTTGAGGTTTCAAAGTTTCCCTGAAACACCAGCCATGTTTCTATTTGAGACAAAATCAGACAACTTTTCAAACATAGGGATATACTCATGAAAGTCCTCATGCTTTACTGTATCTAGAGACTGGAAATCAACCTCTATGTTTGACACTAATAATGACTTTAAATAAGAGGTTATTGTTGCAAAAGCTAAATTAGTCAGAGAATCTGTATTCAACACCCAAATGAGGTAGATTTGATCAGAGTGAAAGCTTTTATGATCCACACATTTATGTCATGTTTCCCTCCAAGGATCCCTCACAGCACTCTGATCTACTGACCAAATAGACAGGCTATGATAGGGGGCGCGTGAAGACATGTTTGCATGTAAATTCACCACCATTAAAATCCCAATTAAAAACATGTGAAAGCATCTGCACTGGCCAGATTGACAGCAGCTGAATTTCCAAATGCAAATGAAAGCAGACAAAAAAACAAAAGCCCTGGAGGTGTATTAAAAAATAATCATGACTAAAACAAAGAAAAACAATCAAATTGATCGTTTTAGAGCCATGAGAGTTTTGAAATAATGAGACATTTCCCCAAATTGTTCGAAAAGACATTACAGTTGTGAAGTTGTGCTAATGCCAGTCAGCTAAATGACTTGTTAACAGCATAAATCCAATGAATCCTAATTAAGAAAAACACCAGTTCAATTATTTAATAACTGATTTAATGACTAAAATGCTAAATTAAGCTGTTAAATAGAGATATAGACTAATTCAAATCAACTTGAAGATTTCATTTGGAAAGGATTCCCATCATAAAGTAAAAAGACTGTCCCCATTTCATGAAGATCTCACATTTAAAATCAATAGATACACTATTCAAATGGCTATAACAAATGATATTGATGTTCGATAAATAGGGAATTAACAACAAACTAATGCCCATCAGAGACGTGTCTTACCTAGTTAGTGTAAGTAAAGTTAGATGCATGGAGGTCTCACATTTAAAATGCCAATAAATGGTATTATTGGGACAAACAGGGGAAAGTAATCACTAGAAGTAATGCATAGAGTGACCTGCAGTAAATAAGTTAAGTTAGAGTCTCAAATTCTCACAAATAAATCAACATATGCCAATAAATCCTTAAATTGATGTTCGATAAATACGATGAATTACTAAAACTCTTTTAGTAAAAGACATGTCGTTTGGAGTACATTAGTTAAGTTAGAGTCTGAACTTCATGAAGTGTCACATTTAAATCACAATATAAACTCTTTAAAATGCCAATAACTCAAAAACTCTGATAAATAAGGACATTATTTACAAGAACTGATGCATTCAGTATGAGAGTGTGTCCTGCCTGGAGTAGGTAAGTTAAGTTAGAGCCTCAGATTAATGAAGATGTCACATTTAAATCAAAATATACACTTTTTAAAATGCCAATACATTAAAAGAAACTCTGATAAGGAAAGGAATAACGAGAACTGATGCATTCAGTATGAGAGTATGTCCTGCCTGGAGTGAGTAAGTTAAAGAAGACATCTCAAATAAATCAACATATGCCAATAAATCCTTAAATTGATGATGATAAATAAGAAATAATTAATATAACTAATGCAGTGAGAGACATGTCTTATGGAGTAAATTAGTTAGTCTCAACTTCATGAAGATTTCACATTTAAATCACAATAGGCTACTCTTTTTAAAATGCCAATAAGTCATAATATTGTGACATAAGATACATTAAAATCCTATGCATATTAGAAACTGTCCTACCTGAAGTAAGTAAGTTAAGTTAGAGTCTCACATGAATGAAGATGTCACATTTAAATAAAAAATAAACACTTTTTTAAAATGCCAATAAGTCATAACATTGTGCCATAAGATACATTAATTTCCTGTGCATGTGAGAGACGCGTGTTACCTGGAGTCTGGGTACTTGGTGAGGGTCGCCAGGCTGCTGGTGTACATGTGTCCCCCGACATCGATGTGCACCGGGGCGTTTGATTTGGTCAGCTGAGCCGGCAGAGGGATCCCCTGCGAGGCCAGAGGAGAGACCGGGGACCGGGTCAGAGACAGCCGAGACATGCTTCTTCCCTCCTGAAAGCAAGTGTACAGAAAAGCCATGGGAGTGGTGGTAAGCATTTGGAAAAAAACACACAACAACACTATGCTGCTGGTGCACCGTGGAGCAAAGCCTCTCTGAATGCTATCAGATCACTTCCATGTCTGTCTGGTCGCATATTTAGCCTGGAAATTATTGCCACCGCTCTAATTAAGTATGTTTGCATCTTTTCATGCAGCACCGGAGGCGAGGATAGGAGGATGCTTATTAGAGAGAGAGAGAAAGAGAGGAGGGGGAGAGAGATGGACAGATATAAAGACAGTGAGAGAGAGGGAGGAATGCTAGGTGTCAGCCTCCAGGGGAATAAAACAAACTGCTGCTGCAATATTCTAATTAAAGGTCGCCGTATGTGTTAGACGTGATGCACCCAGACACCAAACCACCAATCTGAGAGCCAGAAAACACGACGGGGGTGGGAGATGAGGGGGGGGGTAACTTTTCTTCTTCCTCTTTGCACACGTACATTCAAAAACAAAAGAGGTGATGGCTTGTTTTGTCACTTGACTTCTTTCACCGATAATAGATAGTCGAACACGCGGGAAAAACGCGCCAAAAGCACCACTTTACTGTCTACAGTAACAGGCCCAATCATGAAGCATTTCTCTCCATAAACGAGTTGACAAAATGTCAGAAAGATCACATTTTGTGCCATATAATATAACCTCGTGGTAATCTAAGTGCTCCAGCTTTGGGGAACTGATTTGAGATATGGTGCACGCTGAGGTCAGCAGCTGGGTTTGATTAGCTGCCGAAATGTTTGATGAAATCCATCTTCTTTAAAGACTTCGATATATGGTTCTGGAAAAGCAATGGATGCATTTGTTGTTTTCCAACATTAAAGTGGACGCATTTTAGTGCCTACAAAGTGTAAAACACAACAGGAGAGGATAGGATCTTTCTTACTTTAAGTTTCCCTAACGATCAGTGACTAAAGGTCACATTGTGTTATCATTACTCATCCGTTCCCCTGCTGGCGCTTTGGTCTGAAATACAGACCTTTCCTGACGCAACACACAACCAAACTTTGAATATTACTTTGAGCTCCACTGTGCAACTACACAACAGATTGGGGTAATAGGATTTCACCCTCCAGTAAATCAGCAGAGTTGATCAGTAAGTGTGGTTGCATATTATGGGCTGTTTGTCCTGCCTTATATGATAAACCAGAGGCCGGTGTGAAAGGCCAGATCAGCCCCTCGGCTCCGAGAGCACAAACGCCGTTGGGCAAAAAACGAGACAGCAGGGTTTTCCTTTTTTTCTCAGGGTGTTGCCTGGTTTACAGCAGTATCATGTTCATTTAATACGATTACAGTAGGACGGGATTACATTTCAAATCCCAGGAAAAAGAGGAAAAAACTTGTAAAGACTGAAGAAGTTTGGGGTCCCAACACCGGTATCCCCCCTCCTTCACTCCTTACCAATTCAACAATACATGCATAATATAATCGGAACAAAAAAAGAAAGAAAAATGCATATAAAGCTCCCAAATAATCATAATTTCATTCAACATCTGTCTCATCAAATCAATCTCTATCTCCCCCTACACAATCACACACACCATACATGACACATTCCTCCACAAAACACCGTAAAAGCATCAAGTTTCCCCTGCCTCCTTCCACTGACCCTCATAAAGTGTTGTAGCCAATTCCATCCTTTAGACATCCAAATAATATTAAAATCCTCTGCGTACACGATAGAAATAGTACGCACACGGAAATGTTAGAATGGGGAACAACCCGGTACAACATCCCACTCCACACGATGTGCTCTGCCTTTAATTCGACCAATGCTCAACATGGCGTCTTATTCCATGCTGTACAATTAAAATCAGGATCCTGACACGTGTGATTCATCAGGCGCTGGATAAAAACTGCGAGAAAGAAAGGGAAAAGAGGAAGGTAAACCCCTCTAGTTTCCACGCTGCTCATTAGCACCGGTTCGACTATTCGACAGGCTGCACTGTGCGTAAACACATCAGATTATGTGAAAAAATGTTCACCATACCGTTTCAAACATCGTAGGGAATCCAGAGGAAATCCGTGCCGGCGGTCAATCCCAGCTCCTGTCCGCGTAAAACCCCGGAAAATCTCAAATATTTTTCTCCAAATGCCCTCGAGTCTGTGGTACACTTACACCAGCATCCAGCTCCGGCACGAACCTCTACGCTGCCGCACGGAAAAGCCAAGTGTTTGCTGTGTATCCCAACACAAAGCTGCCTTCTAAAAACACACTACAGGCTGTGGCCGGGCTGGACTGCTTTTGCGAAAGAGTCTCTGTGGCTTTAAAGGGTCTTATTGCAAGGCTGGCTCGACCTGTCCTCAGCGAGCTTCTTTGTACCAAAGCGCACAGGAAGCATCCTTACCTTGTACATAGATGAGATGATCTCCTTCCTCTTCTGTGCTCTTATTTTGGATACGCGTAAAATTGTGCGCTCTTGTTGGATTCCTGCTTCGTTTTTTCGGCTTCTTCTTGTTCTTGCTTTTTGTTGCCTAAATGAAACTGCCCCTGTGGTTTGTTATGAGAAGAAGAAAGCCAATAATCCGTCTCTAAATAACAGAGCAGAGCTGAAAAAGAAAGATCTTGCTCCGGGCAGCCCAAGTGCCTCTGGGCCAGGGATTAGGCTACAATTAGCTCAACTCCACTCTCTCGCCCAGGCAATTTTCTCAAGGAAGAAAAAACGTGATATACCCCCTCCTTATTCCCGAAATTATGACTGCAAAGATATAATAACTTGTCTAATTTTTACCCCAGCTAAAGTAGACGGGTTCCCTTAACGGTGTGAAGTTGTAGGGGGTTGGAAACCTAACAGGCAACTGTCGCTCAATGGATTTAGAGCAGCAAAAAGCAGATTTTAATCATTGTCATTTCGTCTGATGTAATAGTTCCCCAGGCAGTTCCAGCTAGTAGGCATACATTTCCATCTCCATCTCCAGCCTGGATCTAAAGTTTAAAGCCATAGTCCTTCACTCAGGCAGCATGCAATAAAAGGCGCAGTAACTTGTTGATAAAGTCCCAGTAGGAAAAATATGTTGAAAATGAAAAGATATCCTTGAACCAATATCTTTCACGCGGTGATTTCCCCCCTCTGTCTCTCCCTCTCTCCCTCTCTCGCCTTAATGTCTGGAGTTGTAACACCAAATTTCCTGCAGGCCGTTAAAATCAAATGACGTCTATGGACATGCATGCTGCTGCAGAAAGCGCCCTCACAACCTGCCTGCAGCCAAATGCGCCATTTCAATTATAGCGCAGGGCTTAGATGGAGATATTGCCCAGAACAACCCCCGCCCTTCCTTCAATCTCAAATGAAAGCAGTCAGCCTCCAGACTTTTTTTTTTTTGGGGGAAAATAAGACGCTGGATGACAATTGTTATTTTTTAAACATATAAAGGCACCATGCAGGTGAGAATGAAGCGCGTAAAAGTGGTGTGCCAAATTTGGTGAAGGATAAAGAGGGAGACAAGCAGGTGCTCACACCAAGGAGAGCATTATTTATTTATTTGAATGTGTGTTTATTTGCGGGTAAATAACTGTGAATAATTGATGCAACATTGAGCCCAGTAATTACTCTACCAGCATCCTGAGAGGTGGGAGGCTCGTTTCTTGATATTTGGCGCCAACCAGTGTAGGAACTTGTTATTGGTCCACAGAAAATGTAGTTTAACTTTTTGGGAGAGGTCTCTATTGTTTAAAGACGAAAAATAAGATATCTTATTGATCCTGTGGCATTTTAAATGGTCTTTTATTTTCTGTTACCATAATACTCCAATAATATACTATTAATCATATGGATGGATCATATGGAGGTTAATTTAAACACGTACATTTAGTTACCTGTGAAATCATGTAATCTAACTAATTTTAAGTATCTCAATAAAGTAACCTGATTACTTTCGTGACCATTGGATTACTTTTAATATCAAACACCATTACATTTTAGCGATATTATTTTAGTTTAATACATCATTTGAATACACAACACAATCTTTTGTTTAATAAATGACATGTCCACATATATTGAATTAAAATACGTTATATAAAGAAAAATAAATTAAGTGTTGTCATGAGGCTTGTGGAGTAACGGATTACATTTAACAGGATTACGTAATGAGTAAGGCAGGTTTTCCTATAAATAAATCATATTTTTAACCTAAATATCTTGATTTCTTCATTTCTAAGGTGACATTGTCCTGTAGTTTTTCTCATAAAACACTGAAGCATACTTTTGATATGTATTTCTCTTGTGTTTATTTGCATTTGATATTGAGGTCATCTAAAAGTAATCAGGTTAAATTACGTTATATTATGATACTCAGATTAGGTTAATGCATTTTCTTTATAGGTTACATTTTTAAATTAACCCAGTGCTTATATGTCGTTCTTTAATGTTTTTTTAATATTGTAATCCTGCTAGTTATCCCCACTTAAAAAATGTAACACTAATCTGATTACATATTTTTCGTTTAACTGTAAAGAGAAAACAGCTAGCTCTTATTGCATCCTGATTATTCCGTTACACGTAATCCGTTACTCCTCAATACTAGAAGTTACGGTACCTTCCTACATCTAAAATGACAATAATTCTGATATAAAATAAAGTAGTGATACTGGTGGTTTCGCAGCAGCATAGTGGGAGTGTGAAAGCGTCTCTCCTTGAAGCGGTTCAAGTCTTTGTAATTAGAAAGACTCCGCGCCTCAGAGCGATCCCATCATCCCTCGCGGCACAGATTTGTTGTTTCCAGAGGTACGAACTGCAGGGGGAACTGGATTTTTTTTCTCATTAAAGGAAACAAGCCCCGAGTTAGTTCAATTACATGAAGTATGCAGGGATGTTGTAAATTTAAAGATTTAAATAGCTTACAAAGTGGCCCCGGGCCCCATCAGTTAATTTCCTTAATTTATGGATTTTAGCGGAGTGTCTATGTCGAAGGGAAGAAGTAGGTCATCTTCAGGATTTGCATTCGGCTTTGAGATTTCACAACAGATCGAAACATTTGTTCTTCTGACCAGCAGGAGCAGGTGGAAGGAGAGGAAGTAGTGTTCCCTCTATAACTGAAACAAAAACGTCACCATGAGTCAAAAACATTGCTTTTCAGGGGAGAAAGAAAATGCAAACGGTTGTAATATTTGAACCGAGTAATGAGATTATTGATGTGTTTGTCTCTAACCCGGCATTCATTAAAGGATTGTATACCTAATTTCCCCAAAATTGTAATGTTTGCCTTTCTTAAAGTCAAATCCATATAGATGTTTGCTTAATTTGTAGGTAAGATGAATAAGCAGCAAAAAGAAAGATTAAACTGCGTAGATGAAAGGAACAACTGTCCTTCAGACAGCATATGTAAATGAAGGGTATGAATTAATGCATGACCTTAGAAGAGTAATAACTTTGCCTGTAGGTTCAAAAGCAGGTGCTAATAGTGGGGTTTCATAAAGTGGCTCAAAGGAGGACAATATTATTCCTTTCTCTAAAATACTTTGTCCTTACACTAACACATTAAAAAAAATTCCCTTCCCTATAGTGTGTTATGGCTAGCAACCCAACACATTGTACGTGATAGGCTAAGGGGCGGGACATCTCTAAGCGGTTGACCAATCACAACAGCTAACCTATCAGAGCAGACTGGGCTCTGGTTTCAGACAGAGGGTGAAAAGAGGTGCTGCAGCACAGGGAGTATGAGAAAAATTAAGAGGAGGCCTCAGCAGGAGAGGACTCTTTAAAGTAGAGACACTACATACTGATATACACCTGAACATCAGCAGGAGAGGACTCTTTAAAGTAGAGACACTACATACTGATATACACCTGAACATCAGCAGGAGAGGACTCTTTAAAGTAGAGACACTACATACTGATATACACCTGAACATCAGCAGGAGAGGACTCTTTAAAGTAGAGACACTACATACTGATATACACCTGAACATCAGCAGGAGAGGACTCTTTAAAGTAGAGACACTACATACTGATATACACCTGAACATCAGCAGGAGAGGACTCTTTAAAGTAGAGACACTACATACTGATATACACCTGAACATCAGCAGGAGAGCACTCTTTAAAGTAGAGACACTACATACTGATATGAACCTGTAAATGAGCATGATATGGTCCCTGTAATGTATAACGTTTGAAGTAATAAACAATGCTATACAACTCTGTACGGCCCTGTACTTATATTACGTTCTACTGAGAAATACTCAAAAATGTAACCTCACTTACATATGATGATGCAACACAATCATAGTCCAATTGCTGCATTTATTAAAAACACAATCCAACACTTAATTAGATCTAAATCCAGTGGTTTGTAACTAAATGTGTGTTTTTGTGTTGAGTGGAAATACAGAAGGCCATGCAGGGTCCTACATTGAGGAATCAATAAATGCTGCCTTTTCCATGTACACATAATAATGCTAGATAACAGGAAGTGAGGACATAGTACCATCTGCTGGTTAGCAGCAACACTGTGAATGATCACTGTTTTTATGGATGCACTCATGCAGAAAGGTCGAGCTGTTTATGTCCGGGGTTATAGGTTTAGTTTCCATGTGGTCCCTAAAAAGCATGTATTTACCGGTGCTTGTTAGTGGCCCTAAATGTCAAGTCAATGTTATTTATACAGCCCTGAATCACATATTTGCCTCAGGGGGATTTACAGTCTGTGCTGCATACAGGGGTGGAAGAAGTACTCAGATCTGTTATTTTTAGAGTAGAAGCACTCATATGAGTTCTGCTAATAAAGTAGTTTTGATGGCAAGTGTTGTTATGGAAGTCAAAGTACTTGTGATGCGTAGTGTCCCATTTCAGAATTACATGACTGAAAGGTGATTAGATGAAATGATGAGGCTATAGTGTGTAAATGTGTTTGATGCGTGTGTGGACCTAAATC